GCGCATCGCGATCCACCGTGTGGCGTGTGGCGCCAGTTCACTCCTTCCCGTGGCGGAGCAGCACGCTGCGGCGTGCGTGTGACCCAGGTGCGCTCCCACTGGCCGGCGGGTGGGTGTTGGGTTGTTCTTCCCTCAGGACTGCGGGCACAGCTGCTCTCAGCGTTTGCTCTAAGTCTTCACGGAGACATAGGCATTCGTCTCCCGGGCAAATACCCAAGAGCGGAATTGTTGGGTCGCGTGGTTGGTGTGTGTTTCATCTGACAAGAAGCTGCCAGAATACTTTGCCAAGTGGCTGTGGCACGCGGCGCTCCCAGCAACGGCGCGGGAGCTCTCCGGCTGCCCTGCCGCGCGCCTGCACTTGGTGTTGTCGGCTCACTCCATTGTTGCCATTCTTGTGGGTGTGTGGTGGCGTCTCTTTGCAGCCTTAATTTGTGTTTACCTGATGACTAGTGTGCTTATTAGGCATTCTTGTATGTTCTCTGGTGAAGTATTTGCTCAAACACTTTGCCTGTTTTCCTTGGGTTGGTTGTCTGACTGTTACTGAATTTGATGGGCGCCTCTAGCCCCCAAATGTGATCTCCCAAGGCTCTGGCCTCCGAAGGCAGGTGGTGCTGGTTAGGAACGCAGGCCTCAATAGACCGTCCCAGCGTGGATCCTAGGGAAGGAGGGGAGGGGAGGGGAGGCGGGGGCAGGGGAGCCATTGTAACCAGAGAGTCTGCAGCTGACTGGGAGGCAGGCCCGGGTCCTTGGGCAACTTGTTCTAATCTTAGAAGTTATGCCTCAGCTTTCTGCTGCAGCCTGAAGGACAAGTGTCCCAGGCCTCAGGACCCACGCAGCCACTCCCACTCAGGAAGCAGAAATGGCCCCTAGTGACGGGGATTCCCGCGGGGCCCCCAGGTGGCCCGTGGCCCCCGGGACTCCGGCCGCTCTGGCCCAGAGGCTCCCTGGGGCCCAGCACACCCCCCCAGACTGGGAGGGACCCTCGGTGACATCAGGTTTCCCATGAGACTGACCTTGGCGAGAGGGCAAGTGCAGGGAGCATTAAACTCACCTGGAGGGCCTTGGGTGGTGGGTGTGCTTGCTGGCTCTGGGAGTGAGCGAGCCCGTCCCTTCACCCAGCGCCGCATGGTGACGCTTGTCACACCCTCCCCTTTGCCCTGAAAACAAAAAGAAAAGAGCCACGCTGCCCAGACTGATGAGGTCCGCGCCCCGGCCTTCGTGCGCCACCGCTGGAGGAGGACGGGGACGGAGGAGTGGGGCGTGCGGCCCACCTGGACGGAGGGGTGACGCATCCGGCCCCGCCCTGCCCCTAGGCGGCCTCGCTCAGCTGCCCATCCGCAGGCGTGGCCACCACCTGCCACGGGAGCCAAGTTCCAGTCCCAGGCGGGCGCCTCAGGGTCTGTCCGGGCCCTCTGTTCCGGCCGCGTACCCTTTCTGAGCCTTTTCCTTTTGCCATCTGTCCCCTTGCTCCCAGCCCCGTGTTCCTGGGGCTCCGTCCCTGCAAGCAGCAGCCCCATCCTTCCAGCCGCCAGTGCCAGGGACCTGGGCAGCGCCCGGGCAGCCGCCAGCTCTTCCCAACCGAGTCCCGCTCATGGTCTCCAGCGCCTGGAGCCTGCCCAGGTCAGGCCACTGCCCCGTCCAGCCGCGCAGGGTCCTGAGATCCACAGAACACTGGCCCCATCCCCGAGTGCAAGGCCAGCCTCAAGACAGGCTGACTCCCAGATGGACATACACGGTCGTCGCCGTGGGCCCAGTGAGGCCTGGGCCCCGCCCCCCTCTGACCTGATGCACCCGACCCCGTGAGTCCGCTCCCCTGGGGGCCCCGGGCACAAGCAGGTCGCGGCTCACGGACACCTGGAGGGTGGGTGAACCGATACGCCGTGCGACTCGGAGCCGCCCCCTCACTGTGCGTGCTGCGGGCTCAGACGGCCCCCCAGCACCCCAAGTAAAGGGGCTGCCGCCTGCGGGGCAGCTTTGAGGGTGTGCAGGTGGCGGGAAGCGGGTCGTGAGGGCGCCGCACTGCTGACAACAGCAGATCGAAGGTTGGGGGGCGTGCCCATCATCCGGGGTGGCGATGAGGACCATTAGGGGGACCGCAGAGCCAGGGTAAGGTGAGAGCGTCAAGACGACCCTGGAACCGTCACAGCATCCCGGAGGGGCCGCCGGCTGGTCCCTCGGAAGTGATGGCGTAGGCATGGTCCTACTGGGAGGGGCGCGCACCGCCCGACTGTCTGAAACCCCTCCCAGTTCCGGGGGAGCAAAGCTTGCTGGCCCGGGGCGCAGGTGCTGAGCTGTGTGGGGCTCCGAGGGCGTGAGAGGTCGCCACACTTGCCGGAACTGCAGGGCAGAAACTCAGGCTGAGCCTCGGACAGGCTGAGCCCTGGGCCCTGCTGGCCCTGCCCCCACCGCGCTCCCTAGGCCATGCATCTTCTGTTGTGCCTCCCTATTTATATAGCGCTTTACTGTTTGAAAAGCACCTTCGGAAATTATGCTACTTAACTGAAGCCCGTTGCCGGGCAAGTGGCGGGTGGAGTCATGGGTTCCCTGGGCTACCCTGGTCGGCTTTTCCTGTGTGACTCTGCCTGAGCTGCTTGCCCTCTCTGGGCTTCAGGGACCAGGAGGCGTCTGGAGAGCAGACCCGCCAGGCTTCGGCCAGCTCTGGGGTCCGCAGACATGCCAAAGGAAACCCACTCACTGGGCTCCAGGAAAGCAGACTCAGACAAATTACAACCTTTCCTTCACTCCAGCATCTAAGCCCTGAGGGCTCCCAGAAGCCTCCTCTATCCCTCGCTCCCGAGCCCCTAGCCAAGCCCCGTTTTGGGACAGGGAAGTTTGGGGAAGGCTTTTGATTCCTGGGCAGCTCTATTTTTATCTGGAATGCATCTTCCTGCACCACCGGCGACAGGCGCCTTTGGAGCCGCGGTGAAGTGCGTGGTCAGCAGGACTGAGCAATAAATAGCAGCGACAGAGGCCGATTGGCTATGTGGGCAGGAAGTTAGATGGACGAGCCGATCAGCTCAATCAGCCGCTCGGCGCCTCCAGCCCCTGCCAGCCCAGCAAGACGCGCTGCTTGCCGCCCACCGTTCCTCGCGCGGCCTGTGAGCTCAGACGCCGCGGGTCCCGTAAGCTCTGCACGCCGGGCGCAGTCCCGGGGCCTCCGACGCCCGCGCTCCCCACGTTACCGGAAACTCCGGCGTCTTGACTAGGGGTAAACCCCTCACATCTTTATATGAAGTCAGCGTTTGATGTTCAGGCTGGGATGCGGATGAACTTGAATTATAGCAGGAAACAGCAAAGGGGGGCCTGTCTTTTCCTCCCAATCTGTTCCCAGATCTGAAGGTCCAGGGCCTTAGTTCTCCCCATCTCTAAACATGCCTTCTTCACAGAGCTTTGTTCTGTGTGCTTTTAAAAATCCTCACGCAAGGACACGCTTATTGATTTGAGAGAGAGAGAAAAGGAGAGGCAGAGAGAGAGAAACATCGATCGGTTGCCTCTCCCACACGCCCCAACCAGCAACCAAGCCCACGACCCAGGCATGTGCCCTGACTGGGAATCGAACCTGCCACCTTTCAGTTTATGGGATGATGCTCCAACCCACTGAGCCGCTCCAGCCAGGGCTGTCCTGTGCACTTAACGTCACCAAGGGAGGTTCGTGGGGGGTGGCGCCTGCACCATCGCAGGGCTGCTGACACTTACTTTGGAGGGAAACCCCAGTCAGAAAGCACAGCAAGACGTCCTAGGCCCTCCTTAGGAAGCGCACGTGCCTACACGTGCGTGTGTGCCTGAGCGCGGCACGCGGGGGAGCAGGCTTGCCGCTGCAGGGCGCCCGGCCCGCCTCTGCAGGCCGCGACCCTGGGGGTAGCAGCGCGGGGCCTTCTCCGCAGCCCCCCAGCCTGGGCAGCGGCCTGGGAGGGCGTTCGCAGCCTGTGTAACCAATGCCATCGTCATGGTCACAAGAACAAAAGCCGAGAGGCTCTGGGACTGGGCACGTGAAGAACACTATTAAAACCAGGCGGTCACGCAGGCAGCATGTAGCTTCACAGACGCGGGGCGGCCACTCCCCGCCCCCGCTGACTCACCCGGTGCAGCCCGGTGACCAATGGCCCGTGGGAGCGAGCGGAGCCCCGGGAGCGCCTCGGCCTCCTCAGCGAGCCTGCAGGCGCCTGGGGCGATGGGCGCCCACCCCGGTCGCCGGTGCCGGAGGCAGAGCGGGGCTTGGACCAGCTCGGAGACACCTGCTTCCTTCAGCGAAAAGGAACGGGGGGGCAGAAGGGGCGAGGGTCTCAGTGAGGACGCACCGTGCACAGTCCGGCCCTGCCTCTCCCCCTGGGCCCTCCGAGGGTCCGCCCCTGAGCTCAGGACGCCCCGGCCCTTTCTATAGAAAGGCAGTTGGTCCCCAGAACAACCATCCGGGGCGTGTGCTGCTGCCGTCCTTGTCTCGGTACAGAGAGGTCCTAAGGTCGTTTGCCCGAGGCCACCGAGCTGGTGACAGATGGACAGTGTCTTCTGGTCCCCCTTGCCAGGCTGCCTGTCTCTCGCACTGGGCACTTATTAATTTGACAGAAAGTTGCTGAACACTTTACCCCCAAGGCACTTGATGAAGTAGGGGGACAGACCACGGACAGGTGGTGAACTCGGCCACGGGCACCCCTTTCCCGCGGCCTCCTCGGACCGAGGGAAGGAGGCCCCAGGGCCGTCACTGGGGCCACGGCGTGAGGAGCCCGGGGCTCGTGTGCCTCCCGGACCGCTGGGCGGCCCCAGTCTCCAGGGCCACGGCCAGGGCCCAGCGCGCCTCCCACATCCACTGAACGTGCTTGGCCGAATGGTGCTTTTAGAAAACCTCACAGGCAGGAGCCAGTTGCAGAATGCAGCTCAAAGACCTCATTGTCACGAGCCCCTTCTCGTGGCCACGAAACAAGTGCCTGGTGTGGCCCCCCATGCGGACACTGAGCTGAGCCAGGTGCACATCTGCTAACTGTCACCTCCCTTTCATTTGCCAGGAAAGACCCACAGAGACCAATGCCAATGTGGACAACTCGGCGCCCCCGTCGGTGGCCCAGCTGGCCGGGCGGTTCAGGGAGCAGGCGGCGGCCTCGAAGGAGGTGAGCCAGGCGCCTCGCAGCCCCTCTCTGGGGAGGGCGGGCCGGAGGAAGGGGAAGTCTGGGTCAGGCCAGTGGGCAGGAGGGAGGAAGCGTGGTCATTACCAAATTAGGAAGAGAAGCCACAGAGGGGTCCCCCTGAATGTGAGGAATGTCGCCTCTGCGGGCCGGGCAGGCTCCTCCCTGCTGAGCGAGGCTGACTGGGTCGGAGCCCCTGCCGGGCCGCAGCCGCATGTCTGCATTCGGCACCACCTCCGTCGCCCGCTGTGGAGACGGCGACCTTGCCCCGCTGTGCCCGGCCTGGTCTGGCTCAGAATAAGGATGGCCCCGCCCCAGCTCCCGTCCCAAGCCCAGGGCGCCGGCAAGGAAGCCAGGGAGGCGCATCCGCTGCTGCAGCGCAGGCAGACGGCAGCTGGGGCGCAAGATTCACCTGCGCGGCTGATGGCCCGTCTCGAGGACACGCCACCCCTCCCTGCCTTCTCTCCTCCTCCAGACGCCCCCAAACATCCCTCAAACCATCTCCTCCTCCTTCCTCTTCCTCCCCGTTGCCTGACTCGCCTTCTCTCTCGCTCCCTCTCTGTCTGTCCGTCGCTCTCCCCCCTCCAGATTCCGGCCAGTAAACCAGCCAGAAGGAAACCGCCCTGCTCCCTCCCCCTGTTCCCCCCAAAGGGAGAGCTGGGCCAGAACGGAGAGGAGGTAAGTGCGCGGATGCGCCGCTGGGGAGCTTTCCTCCTCCTCCCAGGAGGGGACACGAGGTTCACACACTTCGCCCTCGACCCCGGGGCAGGTGATGCCCCCGCTGTAGATTCAGGGATGAATTCGCTGCGTCCTGGATGCTGACCGCGGGGCTCCTTCCATGCTCGCTTGCTGAGCTACAGCTCGACTGACCTGCTGGAGAAGGCCCGCTGGCTTTCGGGCTGGGGGTTTCCGCAGGGAAGACAGGCCCTATGCAGTCTCACCACCTCGAGCCAGGGGCCGGGCAAGTCATGCTTCCTCCCAGCTCTGGCCTAATGACCTTCCGAGCAGAGAAGCGCCTGGGGAGAGGGCCACACTCGTCTCAGGCGGAACTGTGACGTGGCAGTCAAGGCTGGCCGCTGCTGGGGTCATTGGGAGCCACCCCGAGCGCAGCGGCTCGCGGCCCTCTGAGAGCAATAGCCGTGCGGCCCACGTGGGAAAGGACCTGGTGTCCTGGGCACAGCCGGCAACGGGGCCCCGGGCTGCAGGCTCGCCTACGCTTGGTTGCCTCGTTTGTCTGCAAGAGCCATTTCTCCAGGCCCTGTCCCCGTGGCCCACGATCCTTCGCTCTGGCCGTGGTCCCTGCTAGAAAGGAATGGGCACGTTTTCTCATCCAGCCTGGGGTGCAAGCAAGCAGGGACAGCTCCCGGATCCTGCTCCAACCCCTGTCCCCTTCCGTTCCGGGACCGGCATCTGAGGACAGGCACTGGACACCGTGTGAACTGGGGCCAGCCTCTGGGTGCCTCCCTGCTCCCCACTCTGAAGTGCCACATCAGGGGAGATCCGTGGTTTTCGAGCATCGTTATCAGCCCCAGGCGTCCAGGCAGAAGCCCGCAGATAAGGCAGGCGCTCGGCCGCTCCCGGTGGGGTAGGCAGGGTGTATTCCGCTCTGGGAACACCCACACATACCGAACAGGGGTCTTCTTCTGGGATGGGGACGCCAAGAAGCGCAGGTGTGGAAGCACGGAGGCCCCTGGCAGGGTCTCCTCCGCGCCGACATCAGGGTTCTGCGGCCTCACCCGCTCGTGGCCCGGCCGAGGCCGCAACCAAACAGGCACCGACGCGGCTCTTCGCCGAGGGCTGGCTCCTCCGCGTGGCCTCCGCCCTCTGCCGCCCTCTGGGCTTGGGGTCTGTGCTGGGACGGGCTGACCCCCCGCCCCAGGACCTGGCCTGGGCCCCAGAGCGCCTCCGCACTGCCTCCTTTTTTGTAAGACAGACAAGAACACTGACCAGACAGAGGAGGGGGCTGGACGGGGACGTTGTAGCTGCCTGACAAAGACGGAGGGGCCCGGTTCATGCAGGGCCCCGTGCAGGAACAGCGGCGACAGCGGGCACCAGCCAGCCGTTGAGCCAAGGGCCGGGCCGAGAGCCGGTGGACGTCAGAGGGCAAGTCCTGCCGGAGGGACAGGCCGCCTGTGCACAGGAAGGGCGTCACTCCCCAGAGCGGTGACTTTTTGTCGCTTTGACATTCGCCTGGACGTGAGAGGTTTCGCCTGGCTGGGTTGACGGGTGGCCGCCCTCGCTCCGCCAGCAGGAACCCGAATGGCGGGAGGCCGGGGGCCCGGGAGGCAGGGCCTCGGCGGGTGGCCCCTTGGTTCCTAATGTGGAAAGGGCCTTCCCACCCCGTGTGCTTCCTGGCCTCCCGTGCGCCCGCACCGACTGGAGCCGGGGGCTCAGCCCCTGCAGACCAGGGGGACCAGGCTGTTCGATGTGTCCACAGACCCTGCCTGGTCTGCCAGAGAAGGGCTGAACTCACCCCCGCCTGAGACATCATGTCCGTAGCTTGTAGGCATCACTGGGGTGTCCTGTATGGACATAGATCCACCCACAGAGAGGAGGCAGGTGGCCTGGCGCCGTAGGTTAAATGGCTGGGAGATGCTGCCACCTGCTGCCAGGTCTGGGAACTGCATGAGCGGCTCTACTGAATTCTGCTCTGCAGTTCCATTCCCTCGGGCAGGGGCCTGGGGAGCCGGAGCTGGGTTCCCGGGCCCGCCGTGCGGTGAAGGGCCAGGCTCACTACGTTTCCCCTCCTCAGAAGGCAGAGATCAGGGGGAGGAGACGGGTTTACAGCACTACAGAAGGAGAGCACAGTCAGCAAAATCACAGCAGCAGCTTCTAAAACAGCGTCTTCAGGAACGCTGGCCCCTGTGAACTTTCCCCTCCGGACACAGCGGCAGAGGGCGACCGGCTGGGCTGGACGCGCCCTGTGCTCCCCTGGGCAAGGGCCCCGTGGAGGTCGCCCGAGGGGCGCGGCGGGCCGTGTGAGTGGTGGCGTCTCAGCTGGGGGTGCTGGCGGCTGCTGGGGCTCCTGTTGTCCCGGGGGTCCCCCCAGGTCCTGGGCAGGGACCATCCCCTGCCGCTGCTCTCCGGGAAGTCTGGGCCCCGCACAGGGCATGGCAGTGCTGTGGCATCAGCTTCGCCCTTCCCTGGCCGAGCTTGTCCCCTCCGGACGTTTTCTGAGTGGTCAGCATTGTTCTTCCTCCTGTGGCTCAGGCAGAGCAGTGCCTGGGGGCGGGCACTCGGGTGGGCCCCCAGAGTACGGGGAACCCCTTTTCTGCCTCGGCCTCGGGCCATCAACATGAAGTTCCTCCTCCTCCTTCTTCTTCCTCTTGTTCTTTTTGTCCAACAGTATGAAGTCCCTCCTCCTTCCCCTCCCCCCCACCTTCTTCATCACCATCGTTCTTGCATGTGAGGAACAACATACCTGGGGAGCCAGACTTAACTGTAGGGATTTTTCATAAAACGGGGAGGAATCCATCTTTTTAGGTAATATAAAATCAAAGACAGACAAGATCGCTACATACGTTCATCACAAAAATATCTTCAGCTAACAGAGCCCATCTTTATACAACCAGCACAAGGCCTGGAATGTAGTAGATATTCAATAAATGTCTGAGTAATCAGAATGAATATTCAGCCCTTTGGGAAACAATCATTTATTGCGGGATTTTCCAAAACATCATTAGTTCAAGGGGGAATTCTGAAAATACCTGTCAGGTTTCACTGCCGGTCTGTGGTTTCTTATTTTGTCTGTGACCCACAGAAGAGGGTCACTCTGCCCTTTCTCTGAGAAACTCCCTCCAGGCGTTGGTTCATGTTGTTGAAGGCCATGGGGGCAGGGAAGTCCCTTCTCAGACACAGTCTGTTCCCCCAGGATGACCGTGAAGTCACTCCTCCCGGGGCAGGAGACCGGCATTCCGGACGGACATCTGTCCCGCCTGCTCGGACCCAGGGATTCAGTGGTCTTGCCAGTGGGGAGACCAGGGAGGAGGGAGGCCTGGGGAGGCTCCGGGCCCCCGAGGCTGGGTGGTGACACCAACGTCTCAGTCACGGCTTGGGGCTCCAGCCGGCACTTGCCTCCCCCCCCCCCCCCCCGCTCACCCGACTCTCTCGGTCTGTGTGCTCTACAGAAATCACCGCCCAACGCGAGCCACCTCCCCAAGGTCAAGGTGAAGAACTCACCTCTGATCGAGAAGCTCCAGGTGAGTGCACACGGGGCGCCGCTACCTCGCTCCCAGCCCCGCCTCTCACCCGACAGGGCCATGTCTTTGTGTCACCTGGAGAGCTGGCCTCTGACTACCAGCTAGTGGCTCAACAGCCCTGAAAGATGAGGATTCTCCCTGGAGACACAGGGCCAAGTAAGGCCGCGTCAAGCACGAGCTCACGCAGTTAACACCTAACAGTGGCTGGCGGGTAACGGAACACTCCAGGCGTCTGATGGGAAAGGATGTCATGGTGCAGGGAACTCTTCAGAAATAGCCAGGGCCTCTCCCCCAGGCCTGCGTGCAGCCACCAACCACGTCAGCCTCACACGGGGCTGAAGTTCAGTGGCCCAGCATCGCGCTGCACTGGCCGAACCCACTGCGCGGCAGGCACTGCGCCCGACCCTGCACCAGCTCACCAGCCAGCAGAGCCGGGCTGTTTCATGGGATGAGGCGCAAGTCACTGCGCTGGAGCTCCCAGCCTTGCTGGGGAGACGAGATTCTCACCCGTGATCCAATAAAAGATGTATAAGGGCGTCAGTACCAGAGATCTAAACTGTAACGACCCGGCTCCTGCTGCTCTCGACCTGGGACCCTCTGCCTCAGCATTAGGGCGGCTGGATCGCTTTCTCCCGTGGGGCTGCCGTGGGGGTGGAAAGACGTTTAGCCACATCCCCGGGTCCCCCCCACAAGGCACCAGCAGCACTTCCCGGCAAGCTGTGGCAACGAAAAATGCCTCCAGACATTGCCGACTGCCTCCTGGAAGCAAAATTGCACCCCCCGCCCCCCACCAGGTGACAACGCGCTCTGGAATTCTGGAGACATTCCACGGTGGGAACCAACGCTGTTGCTGCACCCCCTCTTCGCCCGCCCCCGGCTGAAGTGTTTCTTCTCCTCCCGACAGGCCAACTTAGCCTTCGACCCGGCCGCCCTGCTGCCTGGGGCCTCGCCCAAGAGTCCTGGGCTCAAGGCCGCGGTGTCCCCGTTTCACAGCCCGCCTTCCACGCCCAGCAGCCCTGGCGTGCGGCCTGCGGCCAGCGGGCCAGAGGAGGTGCCCATCAGCTTCGACCAGCCTCCGGAGGGCAGCCACCTGCCCTGCTACAACAAGGTGACGTCCGGGTTCAGAGCCTGGGGTCTGTCTGGACATTCCTGAGAGAGGAGGGCATGTCTGAGCTGCAGTCAGAGTTGATTATTAACTGGACAGAAATGTCCCCTCTGCTTTGCAGGCGGCCCCGGAGCCAAGACGAGCCTCCTCCCGGCCTGCCCGGCTCCTCTCCTCCCCTGTAACCCTCAGCAGAAAAGCAGGCATGGGGGTGGAAGGCGGGGCGGGAACTGAACCCACCCGCGCACGGTTACGTCACAGCTGAAAACCAGAGCTAACGGCCTGGTCAGCGATCCATGCAGACGGGTGGGAGGGTCCAAGGGCTTCAAAACACCCCGCCCTGGCCTGGTTGGACCACAGCTGAGAGCCCTAGGATGGCTCGAGTCCCAGCCAGTGCTCTTCTGGGCTGGCTCCTTTGCGAAGGCCGCAGGGCGGAGCGGGCTTCTGTGGACGCCGCCCCACGGAAGTACTCACAGCGTGGTACTCTGTGTGCTTTCCTTTCCACTGATCAGCTGCCTGGCCCTTCTGGGAGGCGGTAGGGATTAGAGACACAGTCCAGTCCAGCCCAAGCAGGTGCCTGACAAATGGGGCAGAGCCTGCAGGGGCCGAGGTTTTTAAGGAAAGAACCCCGGCTGCCTGGTTTCCCAGGATCGGTCGGCTTGGTGGGGATGGGGAGGGCGGAGGGAGGGAGGCGGTCCCCAGCTGTCCAGCTCTGCACCCCGCAGTCCCTGTGCCAGGGAGAGACCACCATCGGGCCCCTAACCCTCCTCTCTGTTGGAGTTGCCTCTGTCAAAGTACAATTTTCAAACTGTTAGAACAGACCTCCGATGCGAAATAGGGATATATTTTATTGGCTTGTCCATTTATGAGGAAGCCTGCAAGGTGGCAACGCTCATTCAGAGAACATTCAAAGAACGGGCTCTTCACTGGCGATTTGGAAAACAGCTTAGAATAAAATTGCTAAGTTAGACACCAGACGGACCACTGTTTACCAGGCAATAAAATCATAGGCTCCCTTTCCTGCTGGATGGAAAGCGTGGTGCCTGCAGGAGGCAGAGTCTGCAGGTGACCGCGGAATCCCCCGTCCCTGGGGCTCTGGCCTCTCATCCGCAGGCAGCAGCGGTGATTCTCCAGAAAACCGGCGGTCCTTGGGCGGCCTGCGAGGCTGGAGGGCTTACATAGGAAGGACCTGCGGTTTTCCTCTTGGCTCTTCTTACAGGCTGGCGGTAACCTTCCCTAATACCTTCTTCCAGGTGCGGACGAGGGGCTCCATCAAAAGGCGCCCTCCCTCCCGGCGGTTCCGGAGGTCCCAGTCAGACTGCGGGGAGCTGGGAGATTTCAGGGTGGCGGGGCTGTCCCAGGAGAACGGCGCCCAGGAAGAAGCCGGGGATGAGGTGTTCCAGTCCAAGAGCAAGGCCCCAGGCTCCCCTCCGCCTGGCGAGGGGGCACTGGGAAGGGAAGGGAGGGGGGCCCTGGGGTCCCGCGAGAAGCCCCCTCTGAGGAGGACGTCCAGCAGGACAGAGAAGCAGGAGGAGAAGGCCCTGGCCCCAGAGGAGGCCCCGCAGCCCGCGGAGGCTGCCCCGGAGGCCCAGGAGGGCGCAGCAGAGCCGTCCCCGGCGCCCAGCACAGAGGCGGAGAACAGGCGTGGGAGCCCCACGGAGGAAAGGTCAGCCGCGGGGCAGGAGGAGGCCACGGCGGCGAAGGAGGAGGGGGCTGGCGGCGAAGAGGAGCCCGCAGGACACAGCCAAGACTCGACGCGGCCGGAGGAGGGGGCCGCAGCGCAAGAGGCCCCCCAAGGTCCCCCGGGAGGAGAAGAGGGCGGCCTCGCCCCGGAGGAGGGGAAGGGCAAGGAAGAGCAGGAGGAGGGCCTCGCCCTGGAGCCCGGCTGCCGCCCCAGGACCGGCAGTGAGGTCCCCCAGACAGAGGTAGGTGGCTCTCTTGTCCCCCTGGAGAGAGCAGGCCGGGGCCTGCCCTGTGGCTTACAGTCCCTCACGGGTCAGCTCTGGGCACAGCAACCGAGGACGGACTGAGACAGCCTGTTGCTGACGGGGCGGGACAGAAGGGCAGCAAAGGGGAGCGAGCCTCGCGCCCTCTCGGGCTTCTCGCTGACTCGGAGTTCTGGCGGGTGGAGGGAGCCAGACTGCCCAGCTCGGACAGAGGGCCACTCGCTGCGAGGGAAGGTCGCGGCAGGCCACCCGCCACGGGGCTTCGAGGGGGGAGGCGTGTGCTCCCCTGCACCAGAACCCAGCCCAAGCCGGGAGAGCAGCTGCTGCACTAGGCACATGAAAGAAGGCAGAACAGGGCAGAGGGAGGGCGAGGGGTCTTCCTAGGGACCCCGAAGCCCAGGAGGGAGGAGCGATGTGTGTGTGGAGGGCCGCGGAAGCTGCAGAAGCCTCAGGGCCCAGGTGCCTTGGAGTTGGGCCTTTGAAGAAGGGGACTTTAGGTGGCCTGTGTCCACAGCAGGGGCTGGACGGCTAGTTCTGCGGGGAGGAGGCAGATACCGCGGGCCCTGCCCTCCTGCTGGGACCAGCCCGAGGGCTGGCAGCTCTGTCCCCGCCTCCCCACCCCTCCTCCCTGCCTGGCCTCCGGGGTCTGCCTCAGGGGCAGGGCCAGCCCCGCAGGGACCTGGGTGATCACTCAGGGCCCCGCCCCTCCCACTGAGCTGACACTCCCATCAACCTCGTCACCCCTGGTGCTTCCCTTCCCTCCTCCTTCATTCACCCATTCATTCACTCACCCATTCATTCACTCATTCACTGGCGGCATCAGCTTCCTGCCACATTAGCCTCTTGTCCGGCTTCCTGCTTCCATCTTTCCGGCCCGTGTAGCCCGCTCTCGGCCCAGCGACCTGAAGGGGTGTGTGTGTGAGTGGAGACCATGTCCCCACGGCTAAAGTGCCTCCTGGGATGGTTTCCTGGGGCTGCCATAATGAATTAGACAAACCTGGTGGCTTAGGACAAACAGATGGCTTTCTTCCCTGTTCCGGAGGCTTCAGTTCCAAAATCGGCGAGTCGGTTCCCCGGGGGGCCCGATGGCGGAACCTGCCGCGGGCCGGCCCCGGTCGCCGGGGGTGCCAGCGCTCCTCGGCGCCCCCTCACGCCGGCCTCGGCCCCGGCGTCTCAGGGCCTTTCCCTGGGTCTGTGTCTCCCAACTCCCTCTCCTCTCTCTTACACGGACACCAGACCTCACCTGGAGGACCCACCCTCCTTCCAGAAAGATTTCATCCTGAGAGTCTTTGTTACCTCTACAAAGATCCCATTTCCAGATAAGACCAGGCTCGCAGGGCTGGGGGTTAGGATTAAATGTATCTTGTGAGGGGACACAGCCCATTGCGTGGCCCCACCCCTTGTCCTGTGGCTTCCCAGGGCCCTCAGAATAAAATCCAAAGCGTCGTGAGGCCCGTCCCCCTCCCCGTCCCCCCACTCCCCGCTCACAGAGCTGCGGACACGCCCACGTTTTGTGCTCACATCCCTGAGGCTCGTTCTGAACCCGAACACATCGGCGTTTGCGCTGCCTGTCGCGACCAGAACCAATACGTAGAGACGGGGACTGAATCTCCGCGGGCGCTTTCTTCACATGGCCAGTGGTCTGAGGAGACGGCGGGTCATGTGCCCCAAGACCGTCTCACCTCTCACCTCACACCGGCCCTTCTTATAAGGAGAAGAGAAACGCAGATGCGGAGTTTGGAATTCAGGAGAAAAGTAGACAAGGGGTCAGGAATTCAGGGGAAAGGTTAGTCAGATAAAAGTGCAGCCCCGTGGCCTTCCCAGCGCCCTTTCAACTGCTTGACCCGCGACTCCTCGCCCGGGTGCCGGGCTGCTGAGGTCCCTCCCTGGGACGCGGAGGCTCAGTCGCCGTCCTGGCTGCATTGCTCGTGGTCTCGTGGAGTCAGGGCGGGTCCGGTCATCCCAGTTCACGGGACGATAGCTTTCTACGTGCATTCGTTACTTACTGTTAATAAGTGACTAAGCTTATTAGCTGTAACATAAAGCCAAGAAGTTTCCCACTCTTGAGTTCCCTTAGCGCTTCCCTGCCCAGTTCCTCCCTTCGCTGTCCTGCTTGATCATGAGGGCGTGTGTCACTGTTTGCGCTATAGATGGGCACTATTTCCCTTTCCCCTCCCTCCACGCCCCTCCCCCACCCCCACTCCCACTGCATCTCCAGCACCTGCTACGGAAGCTGGACCATTACAGGCTCTTTAAGAAACATTTTGTTAAGTGAATAATGAATGGATTGTAAAAGAAGAGAGAAAACTGTTTGAAAAGAAATCATCTCTAAAGACACCGCCGCGGGTGTAAGAGGGGTGGACATGTTTGTGGGGGGCCCCTGCGGGACCCCCCCATTTTTCCCACTCAAGGGTCACTCTTTTATTTTCAACTTGTTTGCGTTCTTTTCCATTGTCATGCTGACAAAGATTTCTGGGCAGTGTTTCTGGATGGTGAACTTGTGTGGGAATGAGTGAATAGGTAAGAGGTTAGGGCGGAGCAGGACCTGGGAAGCCAGGCAGCAAAGAACAGGCAGCGAGTGCCACCTCGTCGCTGAGGGCCGAAGCTTTGGTGTCTGGGTCTAAATCCAACTGCACTACTGCTGAGCTGTGTGACCTGGGGGGAGTCACTGGCCCTCTCTGTGCCTTAACTGCCCCGTCTATAAAGCAGAGCTAAGAGAAGTACCTAAGCCACAATGCTTTTGAGAAGGATAAGTGAGAATCAACGCGTGCGAACACTACATGAGGCACACAGCATTTTTATTACGGTCACTGCCACGATACCACTGTTGCCTGGCCTGGTGTCGGCGAGGAGACCGGCAGGTGGCAGGATTTCCCCGCCCTTTCCCCGGCTCATCCTTTCCTCTTCCGTTCGCAGGACGGCGCCCCTGCCCAGGACACTAAGATGTAAAGACGAGCCGCTCCCCTGTGCTTGGCGGCCAAGCGGATGGAGGCGTCTCCGTGGAACTAGTGGCCACAATGGTAGCAGCAAATGAGGCCCACAGCCCCAGCCTGGGCGGGGCCGGCGTTCCTGCCCTGCCCCGTCCCGCCCCTCCCCGGGCGGAGACTGGGTCTGAGGGCAGCAGACTTTTATCAGCTTGCGTTTGTGTTACTGGATGGACTAGGTTTTAAAAAAAAAAAAACTTATTTAAAACAATTTACTGCGGTGACAACTCCCCGGGGGGACTGGCCTGCCCCTGGGGTCCGAGCCAGCCCGCACCCGCCCATCCCTGCGGCTGACCTCGGACCCGGACTCCGCTGACCAGGTGGTGTGTAAAGTGATCGCCTTTGTACCGACCTCGAGTTTTTACCATGCTCTAGTGTAAGGAAAACGAAGTTCAGGTGGCCAGGCCCAAGGGAAAATAGTACTGCTGAAGGCACGAGTCCCCGAAGCTACAGTAAGGCCTTACCCGGCTCCGGGGTGTCCAGCCTGCGGCCTGTGCAGCCCAGGGTACCTACAAATGTGGCCCAACCCAAAATCTACTTCAAACCCTGTTTTTGCTCATCAGTTTTCGCTAGTGTTTGTGCATTCAGTGTGTGGCCCAAGACAGCTCTTCTTCTCCCAGTGCGGCTCGGAGACGCCACAAGGCTGGACACCCTGCCAGGCTTACGTGGTATCGGGCCACACCGAGACAGCTTTTCAGCATGGTCCCAGTTTGAACTGGCCAACCCATTTTTAAAACATTGGCCTAGGAGAGAAAATTACAGAAACATTAAAAAATAATGCATCTGTCCAGCAGCAGGGGGCCTTCTGGTCCCTCAGTTTCCTGGTGGATGGCCCCCCAGGAGGCGACGGGCTCGGCTGCCCCCTTCTGCCGGGAGGAGAGGTGGTCTCCCACCCCTCCCCCTCCCCCGCCGGTGGGCTCCCGCAGCCAGGCAGGAGGTCAGGGGCTTTTGGGCTCTGCCGCACTTCCTCACCCTGAAGCAAACCAGTGCAGGCCGGCGCCCGCCCCCACCCTCCGACTCGCCCCTGAGGGTGATGTGTGCACGTCCAGGAGGCGGCCCTTGAGCATGGACCGGAAACGTCCTGGGAGGTGCTTTGAGCGCAGCCATGTGCAAGCTACATAGTAAAAACATCCTCTGCAGCTTCCCTGGGCCGCTGTTCTTGAAGGAGGCCCAGGCTCTCCTGCCGGGCTCCGGAGGGGTGGGTGGGGGTCTTCCTCGCTTCCCCCGGGGTCTCTCTCGCTTTTATGTTCTGTTGCAGAGGACGGGAGTCCTTGCAAGGAACGGGGGGCCGAATGCCCGTTGCTGGGCTCACGGCCTCTCCCCTCTTCTCACACTCCCGCCGAAAGATGCCAATCCAAATTCGGGGTTAATCTCTCGGGTTGGGCCTTAGGAGCTCAGGGTTCAGGGTTCAGGTGCTGACTTGGCAGCCGCTCACAGGTTTTCTGGGGGTCTGCCAGACCCTCGCTCTACTCCAGCTCCAGAAAACCGTCCCCCGGCCCACGAGGCCTTCTCTCACCGCTGGTACCTCAATCTCCTCATCCCACTTACGGGGCTCCTAATGCAGGGTAGTGTTCGTATTTGGGATATATATTTTCTCAAAAATCTTTTAAATATAATGCATTTTCTAAAACGTGTAACCTAGTGAAGACCGATACTATAATAGGCTTTGGATTTTAGCAGAGTTTTGGAGGCGTGGTGTGTGGGTTACTCTGGGGTCTACTTTCTCTATAATCCGTCAGCTATCTACCCAGCTATTGAGAGAGATGTACACCTGGGCAACCCACGGTTTTATTGCTGTCCATCTCTGGGCGGTTTCCACACTTGCACGCGCAGCCGGGCAGGAGTTCCATGACTGTGTGCGTGATGGCGGCTGCATGCGGCGAACAAGGAGGCTGCTGCTTCCCTGACTTGGAAAAGAAATGGAACGGAAAGCCTGGCATGTGGATGTGAAAGCAAAACTCTATTTTCCATCTGGAGGGTCTGTACCTTGCAGTAGCCAATGAGAAAGGAGCAATAAAAAGGGACAAGACTGTGACACTGAAGGAGCATGTGTGATGTGTCAAAATCCCCGCCCATCGCCCCCTTCCCTGTGCATCACAAAGTTTGATCTATTTTGTAAAAACATAAAAATAAACACAAAACCAGAGGCCACATTTCCAGGGGTAGTTACAGGGATGGGGGAATTCACGAGGTGCTTCTGCTGGGCTGCCTCCTGTGCCAAAAGGTGTTGCATTTGCGTGGCTGGCTCTGGAATTTCAAAACGGGGCAGGAAAGGAACCCGTCTGTGTCCCAGGCGGCCACCGGGCTGGGGAGCCTGTTCCATCCAGGCTTCCTTAGCAGGCCTGCAGGAAAACGCCGACCCGCTCCCTCCGCCCACACACACACACACATTCACACATTCACACATAGACGATCAACATTTACTTAGATTTACCCACGTATTTTACCCTTCTGATCAACCTTCCTGCCTCGTCCCTCTGCACTTCTGCTGAGGTTCACTCCACTGCCGCCTGGAGGCCTGGGCTGAGGCTCCCTCCGGGGCGGGCCTGCTGGCAATGGCTCTGTCTTGAGGCCCAGAGATGCCATGATTTCCCTTTAAATCCTGAAGACCACTTTTTGCTAGGCATAGAATTCTAGACTTTCAGTTACTCTCTTTTCACACGTTAACGTGTTCCATTTGTCTTCTCCCGAGAAACCAGCAATACGTTTAATTTTTGCTCTTTTGAAGGGAATGTCTCTTTTTAATTACGAAAACGCTGCACCTTTATTCTTGCATCCCAGGAATAAACCCCACTTGATCTCGGTGTATGGACACTCCTCCCAGGGGCGTCTCTCTATGATGCATGACCAGGTGGCTTACGAAGACGGCAAGAGCATGGAGCAGAGTTCAGTTTTCAGTTCAGAGCAGAGTTTATTTACTCATAAAACAATCAGTGTTCCTAAGCCGCCAAAGAACGTCAGCCTGTTATTTTCGGCAGCGAGGTGTCGCTGTGTCCAGAGCCTGTGGCTCCTCACGGCGCTCGGAGCCTCCTGTGTGGTCAGGGCTCAGCGTCTGCCGGGTGGCGAATGCCTGCCGCGCTTGCGGAATGGGACTGTGTTTGGCACTGACCGCTGCCCAGCACCTCTCTAACCTGGCACCACATGCCTGAAACGTCACAATCGGTGGCAGATTCCCCGGGCAGCCGCCGTCCTTCCCGGTCAGACCGCACCTCTCGAGAGCATCAGGAGCTAAGCCCCCTTCGGCATCGCGCCGTGAGTTGGGCTGGTTGTGGAAACCGTTCCCAGAGCAGGTGGAAGAGAAGAGCTAAGTGCACAAAACATGGGTTGGGGCTGGAGACACATTTTGCTGACTTCCCAGGGGGGCGGCCCAGGCTGCGGGGTGTCCTGCCCAGAGTGGCTGTGGCCGCTGAGAAGAACACGCTTCCAGTTCTGCCCTCAGACCCCAGGAGAGCCGTGGGGATGCCCGAGAGGCCTGGCTGCGGGCAGATGGGCAGGAAACTGTGGTTCTGTGAGACTTTGCAGATGATAAATGCGGTAGATGTCTCCCAGCAACAAGGGAGCCACAGCGAAAAGCCACCCACCTCAGAAACGGGCAGGGAGACTTCTCCCCCTCCTCCTCCTGGGAAGCTGTGGGCTCCTCCGCGGGAGCAGCCCACTCCCAGGTCCTGGCACAGCCGCGGAGACGCTGCGAGGGAGGCAGGGCCCCGCAGGGAGCCGTGGGAACGGGCTACGACTCCGGCCCTTCATGCTGTCGTTCTGCATCAAAACTCACTTGGGCTTAAACAGACCTAGAGAGTCAGTTACCACACGTACCAGTGGCTTCTGTCTTAAAGAACGAGTGGCCTGGATTGCTCTTTAACCAGCACTCGGGAACAAGACCCTAGAGTGAGTCGGGGGCTGGTCCTCACAGGACGGGCACCGCCGGAGGCTGACTCCGCTTCTCCCATGCGAGTTGCCCCTGTCGGGCTACCCGTGGGGCCCCGGGGGCTGGCTGGTGCCAGGCACGGCCCCTCAGGAGTGACAGTGGCAGCCTTGTTGCCAGCCTCTGGCAGCATCATGCTAGGAAAGCGCAGAAGGACCTGTGCGACCTCTCATTCTTTGTCTCCTTTCATTCTACCAACACGAGGAGACACAGTTTTAAGAACCCTGTTTTCTTGGTGATTTAAAAGTGCTTGGTGCCAGGTGGGCACTGGACTTCCTGGGGGGATCCCTTCGTAAAGTCCATAAATGTCTAATCCCTTATGCTGTACACTTGATGCTCATATTAAAAAATTAAAAACAACAATAAATGGCCCTGGCTGGTGTGGCTCAGTGGATTGAGCGCCAGCTTGCAAACCAAAAGGTGGCTGGTTTGAATCCCAGTCAGGGCACATGCCTGGGTTGCAGGCCAGGTCGCCAGTAGGGGGCGCATGAGAGGCAGCCACACATTGATGTTCCTCTCCCTCTCCCCCTCCCTTCTGCTCTCTAAAAATTAATAAATAAAATCTTTAAAAAAATAATAAAGGTCAATTATCCTTAACTTTTCTCATTATAAAAGTGATATATTTTTATTTTAGAAAATTTGCAAAGAACAAGAAAGTAGTTTAAGTAAATAAAGTTATTCATAATACCAGTACCCAGAGATAACTAGTGTTTATAGCTTATGAATTTTCTTCTAGCTTTTTAATGCTTGTATCCATGTTTTGTGTTTCTTTTTAATGCCTCATTGTTACAAAATTGGGATCTGACCCTATGTCATTATGTATCTTTCTTTTTTGTAACATGCTATCCTCAGCCTAACAATCACGGTTTTGATCATGTATGGAAACCATACAATGTGTCCTCTCCGTGGATCAAGACCAAATCTGGAAAACACACGGGCAACAAGGCCCCCGACGGCAGTGAAGGTGTCCTAGTGAGAAGCAGTTCTTTTCATGATCTGGACCATAGATTCCTGTCACTTTATGGCCTTATGCCCCCTCCCAACTTTAATCAGGGGAAAGCATTGGAATGGGAAATGAAGGGCACAGGCAACCCCAAGCTCACTCCGGATGATTTAGGGACTGAAACATTCAGAGGGCGGCATGCGCCAAACCTCAGAAGAAAAGGACCGTCGA